GACTCAAACTACCGTCGCTATCACCAGACTGGTTAAACATAGCAATTTGTTTAATTCTTTCAATAGAAAATAATTATCATCGTCAACGTATTTCACGTTCATCATTATCATCATCATCATCAAATGTTTCTCCATTAGTTGATGTTATTTATACATTTATCGAAGAATGGTTAAATGATGAAGAAAAAAAAAGTCGTTCAACTAAAATTAAATTTTCTTCGCCTATATTTGAATTAAATGATCCTTCTGAACGTTCATCATTTATTCTCGAACAAATACTTGTACCAATAATGCCATGTAGTTTAGTTGTTCAAAAAATTTATTCATGCAAACATAGTTTATCTACAGTGAAGATATATATGACATTATCATCGATACTTGTTAATGTAATACGATCCGGTTTACATCTTGAACATCAATTATTTTCGTTTTTTTCGAAAAACTCCTCGGACTTACTTTGTAAATTGTGCAATAGGGAAACTATCCGACATATCGACATGCTTGATTGGCCCCCCAATATTAATAATAAATGTTCATGATTCTATGGATGTGGGTGTGGGTGTGAGTGAAGATATTCTCCTTACCCACACTCACATCCACACACCCACTCCCACACCCACGCTCCACACCCACCAACGCCCACACCCACACCCACACCCACGCACACCCACGAACACCCACGCCCACACCCACCCACACCATTGAAACTTATTATTGAAAGAAGTGAAAGATCTAATAATAAGTTCGGATATCAATAATACAAATAACAAATTCATTTATAGTTATGTTGACATAAATAATTAATACACTCGATATTCATTTTCAAATGAATGTTTTTTAGAAATTAATATATCACTGAAGTCCACGATTCAATCATTCATAGGAAAACTCAGTAATTGTAAAGTATAATGGAGACATATATAACAGAAAATGATAAACTTTTTAATATTGAAAAAAGTGTAATCAGAAAAACTATAAAACTTTGTAGATTTTTATGGTCGCCTTTGACGTTATACCAAATTTGAGTTTTATATATCCTCATGAAAATAAGATAAAGATAATATGAAAAACAAAAATAATATTCCTGTTTTGATAAATCAGTTTCGAGTATCCTTTTTAAAAAAATCTTTTATGGAATGGACATTTTTTTCACATTACTCCTGAATTTGTATGTCAACATATTAAAGTAAAAGAAGACTACTATTTTGAAAAAATAAAAAGATTCTAGATTTGAACAATGTTGAAAGAATTAAAAATTTTATCCAAACTACGCATACGATTAAGAACTAGGGTGTGGGTATGAGTATTGATCTTTCTTCACACACACTCCACACACACACCCTCTTTCACTCATATCTACAACTTAATTGACGCTCGCATCGTTAAATATATATTAAGCATGTTTGATTATAGTTTCAATTAATGTCTGATGTAAAACAAGGCAATAAGCACTAGTTTGTTATTGAGTACTAAATTAAGAACATAATCATCATAATTAGAACTCTCTCATCTTCATATAGTGTTGTAAGCGTACGTCAACCTAGTCAGTATGATGATATGATACTCTTTCATTTTTTTCTATATAGATGCATATGTTTAGGCAAGAGATATGACACTCTTTCATTTTTTTGTGAAACACGATCTGAAAGGAGTGTTGAAGTCTTTAAGGGTAGAAAATTGGATCCATCCCCTCCCTCCCCCACAGACCGTGACGGACGGAGCTTTGGAGCCATCACAGACCGTGACGGCCGGGCTTTGGCCCCGTCACAGACTGTGACAGACTCCTGAAAAACCCACCGCCGAGTGTGAAAGAGAAACTTGTTCTAAAGCATAAGACAAGCGATTGGCAACGAATCTTTTGTAAGAAACGAAATAATACAATTTTTATTGAATCAGGTACAGCAGTTCCATCGTGTTTCACACTTTTAATCCTAAAAGGGATTGCGCTAACAGCTTTTCTGTATAGATACATATGTTTAGGCAAGAGAATAATATATAATTGTTTTCGACTCATAATTAATATTTGAAAAATATTGCAAAGAGAAACAGAATTGTTAGCAAATAATCGTTAGAAAAAGTTATTCGTCTTCTTCCCATTCATGATTGTCTTCATCTGAATTATCTGCAGAAGTTTCTGGTGTTGATGATGCTTTTTTACCAGTAATATAAGCACGTCGCTTTTCGATTTCTGTTATTATATGTTCTGCAGAAAACTCTGATCCATGTGAGTTTAGCAATTGTTCTTTATGAACTGGACTTGATTTTTGTATTGGTTTAAGTTTCTTTGTTTCGAGAAAACGATGAAGCTCTTTATCAAAAGTATTCCCACTATTAAGATTGCCACTATGATCATTGTTAACTGCATTGTTAATCAATGTCTGGGATTCATTAACATTTGTTGAAAGAGTCAAAGATGGAGGAATTGCTAAGGATGATGGTAAAGCAGTTGTTGGTGGCATTGGTGATGGAACTCGAATGGGAACAAAATCTGAAGTCGATGTGAGAGTAATGGTCGGTACTAAACAATAACAACGAAAAAGAGTAATAATTTTTTTTTCTTGTCAATTTATCTGAATGTCTGCAATAAAATATTTACCAATTGTTTCTGAAGGTTCAATTGGAGGCGTACTGGTTATCACTGATGATGATAAATCATTAATGTCTGGTAATACAGAAGCGGCAAATGAGGGTGCAATAGACATAGTTTGTCGTCCATCCCAATAGTTGGTAGTATCATAATTGAAAGTTGCACATTTATCAAGTTCTGGTAAATTATCCGGCAATGATAGTTGAGGTACAAGACCTAGTGTAGGATTATAAGCAAAATTATCTACTGCTGAACGTTCAGAATTTTCTTTATGAAATGATGGTAATAATATTTCATCCATACCTTGAGAAAAGAAAAAACAAACAATAAAATGTTTTATTTCTCAGATCTAAAGGGATAATGTATCATACTTGGTTGAGTAGGTTCGTTGATTTGCTTACGGATACGTTTGCCTACATTTAATGAATCAGATTTTGTTGACTGTATATAACTATATAAAAGAAAAACAAAAACAAAAATAACGAACAAAATTCATTTTATTTTCTTATTCATTACATACGGATTTTCTCGTGTTCTATATTTCAGCAATGAAACCACTGATTTAATATTAATTGGTAGTCTACCTAAACCATTTAAAACATCTTTCTTTGTTTTTTCCATAAAATTATCTTCATATTGATTTAATACAATTAATCTATCATCATTAGACTTTGAATTGTTATCATTACAATCAATAAATTTATCCATTGCTTCATTTAAGTGAAATAAATTATAATGAAGTACAAACGGTTGATTATCTTCATTATATGTATCACTTTCAAATATTGTTTTATATGTCGAGCGATATTTTTCAACTGGATAAGTTGCACTTGAATGAACTTGAATAGCATGTTTTGAACCTTGAATATGATCAATATGAGTATTGGCATGTTGGATACGTTCATCAAATTCTTTTAGTTGTGCACGGTAAACATTGAGACGTATAGTTACGCGATTAAATATATCTTGCAATATAGCTTCCACATGTTCGAATATATCAGCGAATTGTTTAACAAGTTCGGCACGACGTAAGTCGCTGGCAATAATAGGTACTGTATAGGGTCGGGTTATAGTCATCTGAAAATATGAATCATAAACATTATGCAATTGTTTATAAAACAACATAGCTTATTTGACATCATTAAAATAAAACACAATTAAGCCCCCCCCCCCCCCCCCCCCACTCAAAAATCGATTTTGACCCAGGAACGTCAGAATGAGCTGAAGGTCTTTTCAAGAAAAGTTTTTATCACTTTTGAAAGAGCAGACGACGGGCATCTCCCCATATATTTACCTCAATTTTGACAGTTCTCACAAAAATTGACTTTTTTGAGGGGGGGCTTATTTCTTCAACCTGCTTCATTCCACAGAGCTAACTTTTCTTCTTGATGATGAAGGATTCTTCAAAGTTTTGCTCGACAACTCAGTCATCAATGTATATTATTCCGCACTATCACTATTGACTTCAATAAAAAGATATAATTTGCTGGGGGAAACTCAATCAGTCTTAAATCATCTTCTTATCTAAAAGCCGATCATGAGAGAGACAACTTCAAATAGTATGAAATTTTGAGCTCTGTATTATGTTCTTTTCTAAAAGTATTCAATAGATATTAGTAAAAGGTAGTTAATTTAGCAGTCCACATATATATAAATATCTTCATTCTATGTAATTAGTGGAAAAGTGTTTCTATTATATAGATTTTTAATGTATGAGTGAAAGAGAGCATGACACGTTCCGTGCTTCAAAAAAAACTAAAAAACAAATGGTCTCCCACTCATTAGATCGGTTTGTTCTATAATAACAAAAAGACCGGAACAAAAACGATCGACTCACGAGGAAACATTCCCAAGTGTCACATCGCTTTTGAGTCGAGCATTTGAGCATTATGTAGGCTCTAATGAGCTATGAATTCTCTGAAAAGAGTTCGTGCCGCTAGCCTCTTGCTGCTGAGATACAACATTTTTACTATATGTTTTGGAAAAAGCCGTGGTCCCCCTCAGGAACATCAGGAAAAGTGAGTTTTGAGTTTCCGCCTGAAACTTTGCATATAGATAGGTCTCAGTGAGAATAGTTTATTGTGAAGGTTTTAGATTTTTTGGTTGCTCCTAGTCCAAGATAGGAACATCGGATCTGTCGGTGTATAGAAGCAATTTTAAGATAATTGTATTTTAGGATAGAAACAGGGAAAAGAGCTGAAGCTTTCACAATAAACTATTCTCATTGAGATCTATATCTATACAAAGTTTGAAGTCGAAATTCGAAATTCAGTTTTTCAAGTGTCCTTGAGGGGGACCACAGCTCTTTTTTCTTAAACATACAGTAAAAAGGCAGTATCTCAGCAATAATAAGCTAGTGGCACGAACTTTTTTCAGAGAATTCATAGATCGCTAGGATCTACATAGTGCGCGTATGCTCGACTTAAAAGTGATGTGACACTTGGAAATGTTTCCTCGTTAGTCAAATAGTGTAATTTCTCATGCTATTTTTTTAAACAAAAATGGGAAGATGTGGTATGTAGGTTTAGAACAAAGGAAAAGGAGTTTACACCTATTCTTTGAACCCGAGGAGGTAATTATTGATTTGAATATGGATATCATGGATACGAAGCTCTGGATTCATATTCTAATAAACATTGATTTGATCAAAAATTCAATTTATTCGTGAATTTGTCTACTTGAACGTGACTATTTGTAAAAGATTAACTTGAGCTCATGTTTGATCGATAAAAATAAATAGTTTTGCAAGGAAATGAACAATGTTCTGTGAGCTTGAATTTTTAAGAAACGTATAATTACTTTAAAACTAAAAACAATATCATACCTTTTGAGTTTAGTATTTACTATATTTGTTGAATCTATACATCAGATCTAATGAAGTATTACATTTTTGCATTAATCAAAAGTAAAACAGATTTAAATAATACTTAGTTTAACTTTTCTTACTTTACCTTACAGTTATCGTGCAATCTTCTCCAAATTTATGCTCTGTCAAATAGATACCACGAAACTGATGTCTTCAATGATTAGTGTCTAAGAGAATTCGCTAACATTTTTATATGATGTAAAGAAAGTCAACAAAACAAAAGATATGAGTCAATATGACAATAAAAGGTTCGAGTTATTCATTGAAAAGAAAACAAAAACCAAGATAAGTAATGTCAATAAAAATTTCGAAATTTGTTTTTTCTTCATATACACATACAGACAATTTTAATATCAAACACTGTCGTAATGATTCGTCATGTTTATGAAGAGATAAATCAGTTAACTTTTCTTCATCGTGACTATTAACTTTAAAAGAATATTCATCACTCATTTAATATCAGTAAAGTAATTTCTGATATTTTCTTAAAAATTTTTATAAACTGTCATGAGAATTTCTGAAAATTAAAGAACAAACTAATCAAACTATACTCTGTGTTTTCTAAAAATCATTGTGATTGTCTTAGAGAAATACTCATTCTCATAAGGAGAAAAAAATATTGTACTTACTATATAAATGTTCAACAAAAAATTCATTACGACGATATCAATTTTTTGTATCAAGACCATTAATGAGGGTGTGGGTGTGGATGTGGGTGTGGTGGTGTGGGGTGTGGGGTGTGGGTGTGGGTGTGGGTGGGTGTGGGTGTGTGTAGATGGGTGTGGATGTGGGTGTGTGAGTGACTAATGGAGAATAACTCACACTCACACCCACACCCACACTCACACCCCACACCCACACCCACCCACACCCACACCTGCACCCACACCCACACCCTCTAATCTTTTTTATATTTTTATTTCGTTTATATGTATTGTCCATTTATTTTTAATATGTTTCTCAATTTGAAGAAATCAATTTTCATCAATTTCTGTATAATTTATCACTAAAAAAGGGTTAGTAATGCTATTTGATAATAGACAATAAGTCTTATAAAAACTCTCTCATTACCATGAGATATGTGTTGATAACTAACCTTCAATAGTAGTACGAAGACAATAATATATTGATACCCCCTGAAACATTTTATTATTGGATGTTGAAATAAAACCAACTGCATGCATATATTCATTAACAAATATCTTAACAAGTCTTCTTCTAACCTTACTAATTTCAGTAAGTGTGTCTAGAGAAGAATTAGAGTATGAGGGTGTGGGTGTGGGTGTTATCAGAACTGAAATACTCACATCCACACACACCCTTGCAGCATAATTTAAATCTAATTTGAGTGTGGGTGTTCTTCTTGTCTTCTATGACACCCACACATCCACACCCAAAGAAAGAGCTAGAGAGCTACGATTTTCACCAGTCAAAAGAGACAACACTAGTGTATATTTTTCTCCAATATTGTATAAGACGAAATCATTTGAAAGCTAAACATTTTTACAAAACATCGAAAAAAGGCACAAAAGTTAACTTTTGTTGAGATAAAATTTTCACAAAAAGTAAGAAAATTTGCTTAAAAATTAAGAAAAATTCATGCTTTTCCAGGAAGTCAATAAAGTATTTGATTTGCTTAACATTAGAGTGCGTGAAGATGATCATTCAAATTATATCTTAAACATAGATCTGAGGTCGTTCTATCCAAATCACATATCAAAACCAAAATTTCATCGAAGCGATAGATCGCTTCCATGAATTTTTTACAACCTTTTGTAGAAAGAATTGATTTTAAAATGATTTCATCTTATACAATATTGGAGAAAAAGACACTCTAGTGTCGTTTCTTTCGACTGGTGATCTTTCAATGTGTTAAATACTTACAATAAATTTTTCTGCTTGATTTTCCATAGAGAAAGTACAATCAAACCTTGACAAAATATTTTCTTAAGAAAAATCGTGTCTCATAATTGGAAAGAAAAACAAAGTGATAATCGAAATATAGGGTAGCCTAATTTTTTATGAGCGATCTTTAATTAATAAATCAGTAATAAAGAAAAAATTAAATGATACAAAAATCATTCAATCATAGCTACAAAAAAAGTTTTAGAAAAAGAACTTTTTAATGTGTCTTGTCATATAGAATGCAACTCCTGAAAAACTACGCCATAACAAAATGTTGATCATCATAAGGCTTTTGTGCGATTGACACGAGATGCTTATCTAATCATATGTCACACAAAAAAATCTTTCGTCATTCTTTACTTTTGAAAAATCAAGAATTTTTTTATTTTTGCTTTATAGATATAATTATAATATATGAATAAATTTATTTTTTGCATAAGAAGATTATATTTACACCTACTGTATTAACTAGAGTCTAATCAATCAAAAGTCCGAGTTGAAATTTGATTTTTTTTATTTCATGATCATGTGTTCTCTTTTTTTATGTAGTATAGACTGATATAGGCTGTTCATATATTTATCGTTATAATACTCTAATATTCTTCTTTTTGTACTGTATTTCTTAGAGTTTTATCCTTTTCTATGCTTGCGTATATAATTTCGAGTGCAATGTTCATACCAACATGTGAACTTTCTATGTCATTTAAAAAAAAAGGAAATACAATGCAAAAAGTTATTCTGAAATATATTAGTAAATATAGTCATGTATGTGTATTATATAACAAATCTGTTCAAAAAGGTTTCATATACAAATGAAAGACAAGTTGGTAATAGTATGTGAAACTTACTATACTCAAAATCATATATGCAAGCATACAAAAGGATAAAAATCTAAGATATGCAGTACAAATGAAGGACTCCCAGGCTATTATAATGATAAATATATGAGCATCTATATCAGTCTATGGTACATAAAAAAGCCTATAAAAAAAAACAAATTTCAACTTGGATTGTTGATTGATTGGATTATAGAAAGAAACTAAGACATCTGCCGCAAAGTCAATGTAACACTGCAGAAATACCTAACTATTAAAAAGAATATATGTACTTAAGAGAAATGTAAAAAAATGATAATTTACAGCATTTACGTTTTCTTCTTTATCGTAATGATTAACTATTATTAGTTAACGTTCATCTTAATTTTGAGACAGAAAATGTAAAAGAAATAATATTTACTATGAAAAGAGAATGGTTACAATTCAGTGATCGTATGTCACAAGAAAAAAAAAATGCTTGACAGAAAAAA